ATCATCCTTAACATACATCTGCGACTCTGTTTAAGCTGCTTTGATTCACTATAGGTACCTTTATCCCTCCCTTGTCTTCTGCACTATTCCCTTCCCATCCCCTACCGCTAGCTACCCGAATCCCAGGTGTTAAAACACTGCCAACTCACCTGGGCTACACTTCCATTCATACCCGTATTTCCCATTCACAGTCCACAATCTCCGCAGCGCCTATCCCTCTATCTCTATCGTGCGATTTTATCTATACGGTACTAACCGTTTCTCCTCTCTCCTCTGCAGACAAACTCTTGGTACCTCTGCCTGATATTTTCCTTCCGTCTCTTGCGCAGCAATCGACCCCCATTTCTTTGAAACCACTGAATCTCCCCTCTAAGTCCGTCGGGATCCTTACACAACTCTAGCCAATTCTTCCTATCGGGGAGTTTTCGACGGTGTGATGAGATAGACGGAACTCAGGAGTCTCCTTTCGGATAGCCGTCGCATCCAACTTTTGCTCTGCTGTCCTGCAGGTACTTTGAAACTCCACCACGTCTATCCTCAGAGAACACCATGTCTTCTGCCACCCCCCAGAATCAAACTACACATAAGGGTGGTTATTCTACCCCACCTAATGTTTCCACTGCCATTGATGGTCACTGCGGAGCCGCTGTTTTCCAACAGCCGTCTCCTTGCAGCCCATCACCCAAGCATGTTGCCTTCGAGCTTCTTTTAGATGAGAACTCGAAGGTTCGAGCACGAATCCCCATGCGAGTCCAGATATTTCCTCATGATACCACTGATTCGATCGTCACTACGGTCAAAAATTTTTACGGCATCTACGAAGGTGCAGCAAGCGGCGTGAGCTTCGAGGATGAAAATGGCAACACGCTCATCGCACGCTATGAGAATCTACGGAACAACATGACAGTATATGTCAGAGTCATCCCTTGCCATAGTTATTCCGAGAGTTATAGTACACCGGCATATTATGGCCATATGAGCATTTGTCGACGACCTAATCTTGGTGAACCGTTTCAACCTCAGTTGCAACAGCCGGCTCAGGCACTCGATTATGGCCAATCGCCTTCCCGACCACCCTCGAGAATTGCCAGGAAACGAAGTATTTCCCCTGCTGGTCGAGGTCGCCGCAGTGTTTCTGCTCAAAAGGCTTCTTCTCGCTCTGGAAACAAGAGCCGTGGGTCAAGCAGCCATGGCAGTTTTCATGACGACGCTGTAGTCCCTTATAGCGATAACGATGACGATCACGGATCCATGACAGGATCAAAGAAAGCTAGAAGCGAACAATTTGCTAGCTCTGAGATCAGCATGGATAATATACTGCAAGATGGCAGAAGAAAACGTCCTAAGTTTGAGAGTTCGGTAAGAGTTCTCGAATCACCTTCCTGCGAGTGCTTCTTGAGCAACAGCAGTAGTTAACTCTCTCCTGTTACTTTAGGAACTACCTCTGTTTGTGCCTCCTCAGGTTCCTTTGACCACCTCAACATCGTCGATATCTCCGCAACGACGATCAACCATACAGGAAGCCCCTTCCCCCTTCGCAAGACCCGCCCAGCGTCCCTACCAAGCACAACAGCCCATTCCCTCCCCCCAAAGTTATGGGCGTCACGACACACCGTACGGGTATAACACACCTATAAGCAGCGCATATGCTACGCCCGGTAATGCTCAGCATAACCATAGACTCCGCGATCGCACAAGCACACAGTCTGTTGGCGGATTCGGAAACTTTGCCTGTCGCTCCAATAATCATGGCATACTCCCGACTCCAGATCCGACAATTGCGAGCTGCATCTCTGACGAAGATGTTGCTATGCAGCTGATTCGACTTGGAGACGTCTCCAACTTTTCTCATGGGCGTATGTCTGCCTCCACTATTGACGACGCATTCAGTGGTGCTGCTGATGCTTCGTCATCGACAGGAGCCACTACAGATGCAGCAGAGGCCAGCGAAGATGATGATGACCTTCCTCCACGCTCGAGGCACAAATTGGATTCCAGCCCTATACTCCCTCCAGGATTCATCAGGAAGCACCACAAAAACTTGGATGAAATCCTCCCCAGCTGCGACAGCAGCGACCCGAGTAGCGATGACTTCGACGCTGAATATCAGCAACCTAAGCATGAAGCCACTATCAAAAGCGAACATGATGGCGACGCGACTTACGAGGACTCTGCCCCCAAGGCCAAGCGTCCGAAGACCAAGGCATCAAACTCGACGGCCCCTAAGGCCTCGAGTACCAAGGCAAGCTCGTCGTCCAAAACCACTAAGCCTAAAAACCGTCCCGCTACAGCTGTCCGCAAAAACAAGACCCTGGCAAGCAACAGCAACAGCAACAATAACCAAGGATTTGCAGTTCCATCCGCGCTTCCTGCCATGGCCAACCCTTCCTCATCACGTAAAATGTCAACCTCTGCAGTAAACTTCCAGCACCAACTTGGCGCCGATGAAGAGGACCTGTCCACCAAGCCTCGTTGCCAGCGATGCCGCAAAAGCAAGAAGGGTTGCGATCGCCAACGTCCTTGTCAAAGATGCAAAGATGCTGGTATTGGCATTGAAGGTTGTATTAGTGAGGATGAGGGCAATGGTCGTAAGGGCAGATATGGTCGCCATATGGGAGTTCCGGTAAAGAAGAGTGAGGCTGCTGCAGCTACTGCTGTTGCTCCCTCTGGCGGTTACACTGCTGCTCCCCCCTTGGGGACTGAAGGGCTCCAGCCTCCTGCTCCACCAACCCTGGCAGCTTCTACGGCGTCTTCCAGCGTCTCTGATAAAAACAAGAAAAGAAAGAGAACGGGATAGTACAAATGATTTTCCCTAAGAACGGTGTCGCTGAATGTGAGGTCTCGCTTCACCTTTGGTGGCACGAGCGCCACTGTTACTCTCGCCTGTGCGCAACAGCCCGATTTCTTCTCCTAGCATTTTTTTCACAGTTACAGATTGAATCGTTCGAGTGGAATATCCCTCCCTGTCTTGTCACTCCAAATCCACCACAGCATACACACGTTTAGTCCCACTTCCCCTTACCAGCATACAAATTTCCGTCAAACCCTGCCGGCGTTGTTATTTTATTTTTATTTCCCCCCCCCCCCCCCCCCCCCCCCC